TGTCCACCAGTGGATCAGTGGATAAAGAAGACATAGTATATTCAGACAACAGAGTACTACTCAGTCATAAAAAAGAACAAAATCTTGCCATTTGCAAGAACATAAGTGGACCTTGAGGGTAATACATTAAATGAAATAAGCCAAAGAAAGAAAGACAAATATTGCGTGATATCACTTATATGCGGGATCTAAGAAACAAACACACAAAACAAAACACACACATAGAGAACAGAATGGTGGTTGTGGGGCAGCGGGGAGAAGGAGGCAAAATGGGTGACAGGGTTCAAGAGATACAAACTTCCAGTTATAAAATAAATAAGTCATGGGAATATAATGTACAGCATAGTGACTACAGTAAAAAATACTGCATTGCATATCTGAATGTTGCCAAGAGAGTAAATCTTAAAAGTTCTCATCACAAGAATAAAAAATTTTATAACTTCATATGATAACAAATGATAACTAGGCTTATCGTGGTGATCATTTCATGGTGTACACAAATATCTTACCAAATCATTATGTTGTACACCTGAAACTATTTAATGTTATATGTCATTTATAGCTTAATTAAAATAAGTGAATAAATAAGAATGTTTTAATTTCTTAACAGAGCTTTAAGTAAGAAAACTAAATTACAGTTTCTTATTCAAAGCATATCTACCTCAGTTTTTTAAAAATTCCAATATTAAAAAGTTTCTTTAAAAAATTCTTATTTGTTGATTCAAGTGAACAATTATTAAAGACTAATAAATAATTACATCTTTCTCTAGTGCGTTTTTTAGTAGAGTTAAGGGAGACAAGTCATCAGCACAGAGTAAGTCATAGAGCACTGCCTGATTTCCTGCACAAATTTTAAATATAAAATTATAATATGTTAAGACCACTACAGAATCTTTTATAAGAAAATGACTTATGCAAGCATATACAAATAATTTGTACACATAGAAAAATGAGTAGACAAGGATAGTAGAAAAGGAGAGAGGACAGTGAGAGTGAGGTGGGAGGAAGAGAAGGAGCCCAGGAAGAAGAAAGTATGAGGAAAAAGAAGGGATAACATGGTGGTTATAGCTGATAACACTGGACTGTATAACTGAAATTTGTGAAGACAGTAGAACTCCAGTGTTATCTCACACACACACACAGAAGGTTACCACGTGAGGTGGTGGATGTGTTAATTAACTTGATGGGGAGAATCCTTTTACAATGCATATGTGCATCAAATCATGTTGTACATTTTATTTGTCAATGATACCTCAGTAAGGCTGGGAAAAAAAAGAAAAAGGAAGGAGAATATGCTAAGCAAATCCAGTAAATAAAAATTTAGATTGAGAAAATTAAGAGGCAGTGATTCATTCTATGCTATGAGATACAATTAAATGCAAAGTTTCATGACATCTAAACCACAGTATTATTTACCTATGAGGATAGCCACTCATACCTATTTTTAAGGAATAAGTCTATATAGTAAAAGGCTCATTACGTAAAACTTGTGAGTTCACCAAGACAAATCTAGTTTGGTTTTATTTTTTTTTTTTTTTTACTTAGGGCATCAATAACATTTACTTCTATATCAATGACAATTGTATCCAAGGGTCAACAATTTACTTCCCCAAAATTCAGCAACATTCAATGGAAAGGACTGTCTAACAACCCAATCACATTTTTTTAAAGAGTCAATTTAGGGCAGTAAATGGGAATATGTGATGAACAAACTGAAGAAGTTATGTAAAAGTGTTCTTCCATATAATTCACTAACAATGGTGGTAGTGAGGAGCTTGCTCCTTCCAAAATCTTGGCAAAAAACCCTAACGTTATAATGGTCACGGAAAGTTGGGTGTGAGTCTTAAAATAGGGGAACATAATTTTCCTTAATATAACTCTCATGTTCCACATAAAAATTCTTGTAATCCAACCTAGAGAAATCTGCCAAGCACTGTGACTTGCTTCATATACTGTAGCTCTCAACCCTTTATACTCACATAGGCCAGAAACAAAATAACACCACTAATGACATGATGATTTTCAACCCAACCCACTGGGCTGATGAAACACATGATCACCTTGTGTATAAAGAAATCTATCCTCTAAGTTACATGGTTCAAATAACAATTCACAGAACAATCTACACAACATCAGAAGTGCAGTTGGAAGGTGCAAGTAAAGGCTACTATCAGCTATAAATCCATAAAAACAGGAACTACTCCAGGCAAATCAAGCAAATATAAGCATCTGAATTAAAAAGACAACTACTATAATAAAAAAAAAATACTTTTAAAAGCCAGGTAAATTTTTCAGTTAAAATCCTCATATAATACTATACGCTTTGAGTATTTTTAATAACTAAAACTATTAATAATAGCTTTTAAAACTGCCTAATGGGAGCAAGGGACTAAAGAAGCAGTGAATACCAGAGAAGATAAAGTGAAATCACCTTGTCAAGAGGTCAGTAAACACAAAAAATTAATAAAATAATTTAAGAAGTCAGTAAAATAATTTGGAAAACTATACTTTCTTTAAAAATTTTTATACATTTCCAAAAATACTAAATTTTGAGCTATTGTAAGGGTTCAAAAATTACCCCAAAATGCTGTAGTTAAAAGATAAAGGTAGTGATCATTCTAAAAAAACAACATAAATTGAAGTACAATTTAAAGATTTATATGGTGTCTTATATAGTAATTTCTTTTTTAAAAAGGCAGTAATAATGGATTAAAAAATTTGCAAAATTTAATTTTTAACCTGAAAAAAATTACTGTAAGATGATTTTTAATCCATTTGTTAGGAAACCATTACACATTATTATTACTATTTCTTTTCTATCATACCTAGTTATTTGATAGTAGGTGTCTTAGATTATAAATGAGCTAACTTGTGTTTAAATCCAAAAAAATCAGTAAAACAAGATAGAAATCTAACTTTTGTTTAGTGTCTTAAAATATTTTCTGCATAGTTTCCCCAAACATTCATGAGCATTCTAATCATGACTAGCATTAAAGCTTTTAAGAAGAGTCTAATCCAGATCAAAAATTTTTTAAAAAGTATGAAAACAGTCAGAAATAACCATTCACGTATCACACATACACACATATATATAACAAGCTTACTTTTAAATCACAAGTTTAGCTTTTCCTTACAACTTAACACTTGATAGAGAACACTCTAGAAGTCATAAATAAATAACAAAACAAAGTCCCCTCTTCTTGCCAATATGTGAATACAACTGCAGTAGATTTAAGTTACATATAAATATATATTACATACATGTCTCTAATACTATATATGATGTTCGTAAATATTTTCCCAAGAGGGTGGGGGAAATTTAATCTTGAAATGGGAAGATTTTGCCACCAAAAGAGATTTAAATAGCCTTAGTTATAAACATATGTTCTTGAAATTATAGTTGTATTATATTCTATTTCAGTTATTTCTATGTGAAAACTTCAAAAACGACTAGTTTATCACAGTCAATAAACCTATTAGATCAATACTCAAAAATCTAAACTTACCCAGAGTGATTACAAATAAAAATGCATGCTGTGTCAAAATTACATGTACCTCTTTCAAAATTTGGACTACTACCCAAAACAATCTTCGGATTCATTGCAATCCATATCAATATTCCAGTGGCATTTTTCATAGATAAAGAACAAACAATCCTGCAATTTTTAAGGAGCCATAAAAGACCCCAAAGAGCAAACTTGAGAAAGAAAAACAAAGAGGGAGGCATCACACTCCCTGATTTCAAAGTACACTGCAAAGCTGTAGTTACAAAGACAGTATGGTATTGGCATAAAAACACACAAATATACCCATGGAACAGATTAGGACCCAAAAATAAACCCACACATGCATGATCAATTGATTTATGATTTATGACAAAGGAACCAAGAATATACAGTGGGGAATAATAAATGATGTTGGGAAAAGCTATAGTCACATGCAAAAGAATGAAACAGGACCACTATCTTACACCACACACAAAAATTAATTCAAAATGGATTAAAAACTTGAATATAAGATGTGAAACCCATAAAACTAGAAAAAAAACAAAGGTAGTAAGTTCCTTGACCTCAATCCTAGCAATGATTTTTTAAATCAGACACCAAAAACACAAGCAACAAAAGTAAAAATAAACAAGTGGGACTACATCAAACTAAAAAGCTTCTGCACAACAAAGGAAACCATCAACAAAATGAAAAGGCAACCTATGGAATGGGAGAAAATATCTGCAAATCAGATATCAGATAAGGGGTTAATAACAAAAACATATAAGGAACTCATATAATTCAATAGAAAAAAAAACCAAAAACCACAAACAATTTGATTTAAAAAATGGTCAAAAAAAAAAAAACAACACCAAAATGTGCAGAGGACCCGAATAGACATTTTTCTAAAGACATCCAGATGGCCAACAGGTACATGAGAAGATGATCACTACCACTCATCATCAGGGAAATACAAATCAAAACCAGAAAGAGATATCACCTCACACTTGTCAGAACGGCTAGTGTCAAAAAAGACAAGAAGTAACAAGGGCTGACACGGAAAATGTGGAGAAAGGGAAACCCTCAGGCACTGTGGGCGGGAATGCAAAGTAGCGCAGCTACTGTGGAAAACAGTATGGAGGTTCCTCAAAAAGTAAAAAATAGAACTATCATATGATCTAGTAATTCCATCTCTGGATATTTAGCCAAAGAAAACAAAAAGACTAACTTGAAAGGATGCGCCTCTATGCTCAGTGCAGCATTATTTACAATAACCAAGATATGGAAATAACCTAAACAGCTATCAGTGGATGAATAAAGAAAATGTGATATATATATATATATATATATAATTCAGCCATAAAAAAAGAATGAAATCTTGCCATTTGTGACAACATGGATGGACCTGGAGGGCCTAATGCTCAGTGAAATAAGTCACAAAGAGAAAGATAAATATCATTTGATATCATTTTTATGTAGAATCTTTAAAAACAACAAAGAACAAAAAAGCTCATAGATACAGAGTATAGACTGGTGGTTGCTGGAGGCAGAGGGTGAATGGTGCGCAAATGGGTGAATGGGGTCAAAAGGAACAAACTACCAGTTATAAAATAAATGTCATGCGATGTAATATAAAATACAGTGACTATAGCCCATAATTCTGCAAAATTGCAAATACTGCATATTGGAAAGTTGCTAAGAAAGTATATCTTAAAAGTTCTCATTACAAGAAAAAAATTTTGTAAATATGTATGGTGAGGGATGTTAACTAGACTGATCATGTGATGATTATTTTGCAATGTATATAAAGACTGAATCATTATGGTGTACACCTGAAACTAATATAATCTTATATTCCAATTATACCTTAATACCAAAAAATTCGGGCAATTAATAAAACACTTAAATCATAAAGCTGAGTTCAAGTTTAGTCCCTAAAGAATATATTTAGTTTCCTTATTCTATTATTGTATCCTATGAAATAAATTAACTCAATCTAAACTACTTGATGATCATTATTTTTGTTACTTATTACAAACTATAAAGTTTATGTTCAAGATTGCGTCTTGACGTAAGTGCCCTCAATTATAGGTCTACACCTAACTATCTATAAACATTAATGAAAACAATACTGCCCCAATCAGGTACAAAAATTTCTTTCTATTTTATAAAAAAAGAACTTCTAACCTCACTCAACAATTAATCACATTTCAAACAATGGATCTGAAAAAAATGTATTAGAGGCACATTTTTTAAAACAAACACACTATGAAACCTTGCTTTTAACGGAGTCAGTGAAATTTTGTTTTTTTGTTTGCTTTTTTATGGCTATTTGGTTTACTTCCTTCTTCTGGGCAAGTTTAGTATGCAACTCTCATTCTTTAAACAGTCAAAAACCCACAGACTTAAATTTTCTGAAAACTCAACCTGGTCTTGTCAGCGGAAGACAACGTAACTAGCACCACAAAACAAGTGTACTAAATTTTAACACTGTTCATTAGCAGTTCCATTTTCCTGAGTTTGCGTTTGTTCTTTGGCATTGGCTTAGGATATAATCCATTTTTCAGAAGGTGTTCCTTGCTGAGGCGAATTTGAGCACCGTGCTGAAGCTGGAAAGAGCATAAAGCTTGAAGAGGACGAAGCAAAGTCTGTGAAGATAAAAAAAGATACTAGAAGAGTGTAACAAATCATGACATTGTACCTAGTTTTCTCTTCAGAAACAGGGATTATTATGTTTCTTTTCACTACTATTGGCTTTTAACTATGAAAAGTAATAGACACTCTACTAAATATGTGATGATTTCTAAATATAAATTTCTTTTAATTCAACCTTACATAGTGCTAAGGAATTCCAGTAAAAAGACACAAGTAGCTAATTTTCCACAGAGATGATAAAGTCCAAATTTAGTTTTATACATTAACATATTCAAACACCTCAAAAAACTTGCATTATAATATGTAGCAGAGTACAAGAGATCTAGATACAAATTAGTTAATTCAGTTTCTTTTTTTTAAAGATTTTATTTATTTATTTATTTATTTATTTGAGAGAGAGAAAGAGGAGAGCGCAAGTGAGGGAGGAACGGAGAGAGAGGGAGAAGCAGACTCCCCAGTGATCAGGGAGCCCGACGACGTGGGGCTTGATCCCATGACCCTGGGATCATGACCTGAGCCAAAATCAACCGACTGAGCCACTAGGTGCCCTTAATTCAGTTTCAGTCACAGAATGAGGCACGTTTCCTGCTGCCTGAGAACAATCAGATGATGGCGGCAATGGGTAAGAAGTTTACTAATTCTCTCACATTGGTCCCGGGACCACATACAAGTGAGATATCCCGGTTTTGGTGCATTTGAAATAATTCTAACTATATACGTACCTGTCTAAACCCAAATACTTACAGGGCCAGTCATATAACATAAACATGTACAGTGAGTAGACCCATATGATAACAAAGAACGGTGGAGGTTAAAACACAACTAGAGCACAAGCCAACCTGAAGTTTTTCAAGTTCAAAAATTAAAAAAAAAAAAATTCCCACTCTGCCACATGTTCAAAACATATTTCCTTGGGCCTGAGACCCCTGACCTAAATCTTTCAAATAACAATTGCAAACTTGAGTAAGCAAACTGTTTTTTTAGAAATAAAAGGGACAAAGGAAAAAACTGACAGATTTAACTACCAAAATTTCACGTCTATGTGAAAATGTATTCTCCCCCATACACAACATGAGTGGCAGCAGAGCTTAACATCAGCTCTAGTTTGACACCAAACTCTTAGACACTGTCACCAGCATCTCCTTCTCTGTATTTATTCTTTTCTTCCTTATTAAAAAAAAAAAAATCCAAAATGTTATTCAAGGTGGCAGTGTATCCAGCTAGGATTGTTAACTGGCTACCGACACGGTCCATATAATGATATATATGTGGAGGTTCTTGTGTGGGGCTTCCAGAGATACTCTTTACAACGGGACAGACTCAGGAGGCAGAAGCTTCTGCACTTTCTTCTTGCCTGGAATAGGACTGTTAGAGGTGGGACAACCATCATGTGACTACAATGCAATCAACATAAAGATTAAAGTCAAATACATCTGATGATGGACAGAAAGACAGAAGACATCCCTAGCCCTGGGCTGCTCACCTCAGCATTTCTTACATCCAGGAGACAAACCAGCCAGTATATATACACTGTTCAGCCACCAGAGTAACCGCTCTGTTATATGCAACCAAATGTAATCCCTGACACACACCAATGGGAGAGACAAACTTCTTGGAAAAACTCTGCACACCATTATTATAGAAAGCCCCTTATATATGCTATCATGATTTCTTTTAACGTCTTCAAATAAGAGAGGGAATGTGGAAATAACTATGTATTTCTTTACAGAGTCAACACAGACTGACTGGATCCTGAAACATCGTCCCTAGAAAACATACCTAGGACTATATACAGACTGAGACAATGGAAGTTTCCATTGCTATGTACGACATTTATTAGATTCCTGATGGACAGAATACTCCAATGTTTGGTAAGGGTCTCCAATGTTTACCTCCTGAAAATAAGATTCTATCAGTTTCCTGAGGTAATTAAGAGAATGAGTTGTGGAGACAGACCTAGATTAGATCCCCACCTCATCTCTGTGGTACTCAGTAGGGCTGTTCACAGATACGCCAGTCCTCCATCTCTGAGATTAGGTATGGCCGTATCACTTGCTTTGGTTACTGAAATGTGAGCATGAATACTGTGTGTCACCTCTGGACAGAAGCTTTAAAAGAATGTATGATTCACCACCTCCCTTGATGAAGGGAGAATGACATATCTAGATCGTGCCTCCACCAGCCTGGGCCCCTAAGTGACCGCAGCAAGCACAACCCATGCCCACGCCCACGCCACCCCACCCCCGGCGACCCCACAGCACAGCCAGTGTGACAGGCACGTAAACCTCTGTCGTGTTACGCCACTCTGACTCTGCAGCCGCATCTGGCCTATCTTGACTGGTGTAATCATTACTAGCCTGTGTTCCCAGATAAGTCATACAACTTCGCCTTGCCATTTTCTGAGGGGAATAATGTCAGCCTTAAAGGGTCATTATTAGGTTACACTAAGGAGTTAAGCACACCACATGATAATAAATGACAATGCTTCTGTATAAACTAACAACATCATATTTGAGGCAATGTGAAGCTATAGGAGAAACAGACTGGTTCAGAGGAACAATGAAAATCCAAAATCTTCCACTTTCAAAATAAGTTCATTTCTAAAAGTTTATTTGGGGGGAAATCAGTATTTTGTAAATCCTTTGTCCGCACGTATAAAGTGACAGTTCTCAAGGGACCCTTACTGACCAGCTCCTGTTGTCGAGCAGAGAGCTAAGGCACTGAGGCTCTGCACAAAGCCTTACCCCATCTACCTATTCAGGCTCATAAGATAAACTTCCTAAGGAGAAAAGATTCTATTATTAAAAAGATCCCTAAGCTCAAGACTTCCAAGGTGTGAAAAGCCCTGGTAAATATTACAATAGCTGAATGAAAATCACCAATCTTCAGTTCAAAATTTTTGTCAATTTATTGGCAAGAATTGGGGAGACAAGGAAGAACAAGGGGATTAATTCTCCTTGAGTTCCTGGTGTCAGGCAATTAACACACATTATTCCACTCAATTCTCACAATAGTACTAAGAGGTAACTATTTTTGGTACATTATAGATAAGTAAACATGAACAAGGAGATTATATGAATTGCTCACGGGCAAAAAGTGATGATGATAAGTGACGAGGTTTAATTCAAACCTGCTTCAAAGCTCACCCTGAGCTACAGTGAGTGTTTGAAAAGCTGCTAGCTTTTAGCTTTTTTCATAAAGGACAAGGATGAATCAGCAGACTAAGAAGGCTATTCCATGCCAAGTTCTTTATTTTGAGGAGCCCTACCTACCTGGATAGAATAAAGCCAGATGAAAAACTGCTACTCTGCCCCATTGCCTTACCGTTTCATTAGCAGGCCCCTAATAAAGGGTTACTGGGGGAAACATGTATGTCATAGCTTTCCTCCTCAGGAAAGAGAGAAAACACATTCAGAACAGACGGTAATCATATTTCTCAAGGGACTGAACGGATATATTTTTTTTTAATTGTAGCTAGATTCGAACAGGCTGGACTTGAGATTCCCCCACTGAGAAAGCTCACTTTTTTTTGCCAGCTATAATAATAAGCAACTTGGGATGTTCCACTATGCATTTCTTCTGCTCAAGCTCCAGCCAAGAATCTTATCAGCACCTCCCAAATCACACATTGTCAAACACACTTTTTCATCTCCTGACCACTGAAGTATGACTACTCCTGGTGATCAAAGCAAACAGAAAGAGAACTGTAGGACCTCACTATTACTTTGGGATTTCGTGTGCCATTTGACCCACAGACAACAATAACAAAAGCTGAAGACAGGATGGATCCTGTCGCCATTCTGTATCTTGAACTTTGCCTGTTGTTGGATATTATACTCAGAGCACACGATAAGCTTCCTGCTGGAATGGTACATTAACTAATACCAGAATCACGTATCTTATGAAACTGGAAGGAAGGAGCAGTAGGATCATTGGCAGCAGCAGTACAAAAATGATCAAAACCCCTAGCCCTATTGTATTACAACAACATTATTAAATCACCACCACTACCAATGTTAAAGCTTCTGTTCAGAATTGAAGTAAAGATCCAATTCCAATGTAGAAATAAGAGATGTAGGTCCATAGACGGTTCTTTTCAGAACCCCAAAGAAGGAAAGGAAATAAAGTTTCAAATCCACAGCCAAAGAATATTACATTTTTCCCTCAAGATTTGAGCTTTTAATGGGTCCTTGGTCTGATGTCAGCTGATCACTGAGTTTTAAATCAACGAAAAGGAAAATACAGAGACTGTACAGAAAGCAAGTTTAAATAATAGTGCTCAGTTTCATCTTTCTTTTAAGATGCCTAAAAATAATATATTACTTTTGCTCAAGAACATATAAACAAAATAGAAAAATAAGTACAGGGGTATATAAAGTGCTATGTTGATAGCTAGATACATAGGAACAGGTGATAAGGTTAGAGCAGAGAGAGAAAAGTCAGAAAACACTCTCTGGTCATTTGGGAGAAAAATGTATGGTCCCTGAAGAAATTTTTTTCTTTCTCGAAGGAGAGAGAACAGAGAAAGAGAAATTGCCTAGACCCAAAACGAAGTTTACTTACACAGATACACACACAAAAAAGCCTACTCATTAAAGCCCACTTCTTTCAAAAGAAGAAAAGCCACCAACTCTGACATTTCCCATAGCTTAGGGTAGGGGGAGAGGGTAAAGGTAATTCAAGGCTTGCCTCTGGCATTCTTTAACTCTCCCTGCTCTGGACGTCTTTGGTTCTTTTTTCTTTTGCCTTAAGTGCTAAGTTTCCTACATGTTCCAAAAGACTGAGATGTTTGTGAGCTCAATGAACACTATTCTTTACTGATGATTATTAATTATATATGAAATCATCAGGCTTTCATGGAAATTAAAATGATGATTGCAGATTATAACCTTTTCATATTCTGCAGGCGTTTTTTCTCAAAAAATTATCTTTTTTATACTCCAAGTGGTGACTAAGATAAACATAAAGTTGGTACACCTTCTCAAATAAAAGCACCAATGCAAAAAAAAAAGTTGTAAAATATTCTTTTAATTAAAAAGAAAAAAGCTGTGTACAAGAAAACACAAAATGCTAAAAGAGAAATACAAAATAATAAAAGAAAAATCTAACCAAAAAACCCTGTATTTAATGTTGTGCTACTTAAAAGCAATTTAGCTTATTACAAATGCTGTTTGCACAGCTTAGAATGAATATTTAAATAATGCAATCTGGATGCTAAACTAACACAGAAAAATGCCAGAGGGGGAAAGAAGGTTATAAATGTACACAAATTTCTATCACAGATACATTCAATTTGACACCTGAGCTGCAAATTTAACAAGCTATGCATTTCTAAATTTTCTAGATAAAAAACTAACCAAACTGTTCACTTTCAAAAACTATATAACCTTCCAAAGACATACCTCTTGTATGTAATTATTTTTCTCCAAAATGGAAAGAGCCGCAGCTGCACATTCCAGTGTAGAAAGGCACCTATTAGTTGGTTGCGTCCGAATTACATACTGGCTAGAAATGCTCGTTTTTAACTGCACCTGAAACATAATAACAGAATGTAATTTTTGTTTTAAATTTAAAGTTATAAAGTCTGTGTTTTAACTGCTAACTTCCTTCCAAAATTGCCAGTTTAGAAGTATTAAATGTACTGGGGCATGCTCAATGGCTCAGTCGGGTAAGCATCCAGCTCTTGATTTCGGCTCAGGTCATGATCTTAGGATCATGAGATTGAGCCCCATGTTGGGCTCCACGCTCAGCAGGGAGTCTGCTTGAGATTCTCTCTCTCCCCCTCCTTCTGCCCCTCCCCCCCACCCCACTCACACTGTCTCTCTCTCTCTCTAAAATAAATAAATCTTTAAAAAATATACTAAATGTGTCAATATCTTCCATACATAATATCCTTCAGTTATTGTTACTGTTAGTCAAAGAGGACAGTTACACATATATCTGACATTGAAAATATATGCAGAATACATGCAAATTCCTACACATCATAAGTACAAAGACTAATAACCCCTTCCCAGAGGGCACAAGCATGAAAAGACACCTCACAGAAGAAAATATAAGAAAGGCAAACAGGCACATATAAGAGTGCTTAACATGACTGAATGCAAATTAAAATCACAATGAGATAACATTTCACACTCCCTAGAACAGTTAAAATCAAAAAGACTACCACCACCAAATGGAGAGAATATGGAGCAAAGGAAACCCTCAGACATTGCAGTAGAAGTGAGCAGAATTTAATCCCTTTGGAGAATTGACAGTTGGTTTTTTGTTTGTTTTTTAATGGTTTAGTCTTCCATCATTTCTTAATATAAACTGACAGGTGTATGTCTGTATGGGGGCAAGTGATTGAGACCTGCTAAATGGCACCAAGTTGGACATGAGAAAGGCAATAGAAAAACAAATGTCAACATTCTGGCCTCCTGATTCTTATTTTAATTAAATGACACTCAAGTGATCTTATACTCATAAAGCCATATTCCTAGTCCACAGTCTTTATAGTATCACATTTAAAAATGTGTGGGTAGATGAGAATTTCAGTTTTTATTCATAAATATGTAAGCAAGTGGAATGAAGTAGTGGTGTCTAAGTCTTAACACATAGCAACTTAATGAAATCAGGTGTTCTCTCTCATTTTCTAATATCTCTGAAGTTCCATGAGTCCCTCATTCCTTTAAAAGCATTAAAACTCTCCCATCCATGGAACCTTGCCCCTCAGTCCCCTTCTTCCTTTCTTTTTTTTTTTTTTAAGATTTTAATTATTTATTTGCCAGAGAGAGCACACAGGCAGGGGGAGGGGCAGGCTCCCCGCTGAGCCAGGAGCCCGATGCGGGGCTGGATTCCAGGACCTGGGATCATGACCTGAGCCGAAGGCAGACGCTTAACGACTGAGCCACCCGGGCGCCCCTCTTCCTTTGTTTCTTATGCAGTCCCCCATGATGAGAAATATGGTTCTTCCACTCTGAATGCATTTTGTTTAAAGAATTCCCTACAACTTGTATCCTTTCTATCCTCAGAAAGAGGAAGGAGGTGGGGGGAGGGGAGGACGGGAGAGACAGGAAGGGAGTAAAGGCATCATAAAAGATTTACTATGGGATGTACGTAGGTTTGGAAAACATCCTTTAAAGCATATTTAATAATGTTTTAGAAATAATCATATTAAAATTATTCTGCATTTCCACCAATGTAAAAGATGGATATAGTTGCAGGGAGGGAAAGAGATGGAGGAAAATGGTTCAGAAACATGTGTAATGATAAAAAGAAAGCCTACGATTACATAACTGTAAGAATAATTCATAATGTTGATTAACTGTAATTACTAACAGCTTTGATATGGCATCAGGTCAACTAGAAAAAGGGTACAACCAGCTACTGCTTTCAGCACTCAAGTCCATCACTGGAGGAACTGATAATAAATATCTGATTACAGCTAAAACTCAGGGCCCGATCTCACAACACTGAGATCATGACATGAGCTGAAAACAAGAGTCAGAGGCTTAACCAACTGTGCCACCCAGGCGCCCCGATACAAATTTGATTTTTAAAAAAGAAGATTTTAAAAAGACAAATAAAATAATATTTAAAAAATAAAAAAGTTTGATATTTCAGTGAGGAGTTTTATTTCTTACTGTGGCCGACAAGGCTGTATGAAATCTCAAAACTTTGAAATTTACCAAATGTTAGAAGACTTCAGAATGTCCTTCACAAATCATCTCTCCAGGATTTATCCAGTAACCAGATATACTAAAGGTGTAAATAACTAAGACCTGTCATATTATCAACATACATGTTCTTAGAGCATGTTAATGCGACCTTCTATTATGTTTTTGTGCTGTATCACCTTCATCACTTCTGATTCAGTGAGTAAATAAGCAAGAACAAAAAGAAATCCTGTTGATCCATCTTCTTGAGAAGTCGCAAGCATCATAATAAATAATTTGTCAGAAAGTGCCTTGTCTTAAAAGTTCAGGAAAATCCAAGGCAAAAATAACCATTCTAATAAAAGAAAAAATTAATATCTGACTAAAGTATGAGGCTCTATTGAAAGACCAGGGTTATTATATCAAACCTGACAATAGCTAATCAATTAATCTCACTCCAGTCCTTTCATTTCTCAGTTCCTTCTCACCTATAAAAATCATATAGATGGACCTGATGCTGTTAAAACCTTTTAGCAATCAATCCTAAGATTATATATAATATATAGCATTAACTATAATTATATATCATAATTAATATATCATGTAACTGTTATAATACTGACATATAATTATTATATAGAAACTTAATTTCCAAATATTAGAAGTCATGATGACTCAAAGAATGCTTCAGTAATTTTGATCTCTTTGGAAGCTGGTTCTCTTTGAGTTTGTTTGACTGCTCTTGATGTAACTTCTTTAGGAACAGGAAAATCAGTGGTTGGTTTAGAATTCTACTGGTATGAATTGTGAGCCTATAACATAAACTCCCATTTTAGAAACAGCCAACTTCCAGGTCTTATTTCTAGATTTAGCAACAGATTCCAATGATTCTCTGAATTGGCTAAAATTTGAATTCCTGGAAACTCTTTTGTTATAAGGTGAACTTCATTTCTTCTCTTCCATTAAATCTTAAACACATCTTTAACATACAAGAATACCAGGTAATAGTCTGATATGATGATCGCTGTTAGATTCCATGAAAAGGGGCTTTTTTGAATGTCTCCTTCCTAGCATATCTTTAGCTGTTTTTGTCACAAGTGACATGCCATTAAAAATCTGGATGACATAGCATGTACAGTGGTTTAGTAATGGCGTTTAGGGCCACAAAATAAGTAAATATGCAAGGCAAGAATATGCCATGGCTTGTCTGCATAATATAAGCATTTTTAAATAATTTACTGTAATATAAATTAGTTAATTCTTTGGTCAAACAAAATAAACTAAAAAAAAGACCTCAAAATTAAAATTTTAATACATACCTCCAGGTCCCACAAATGTTTTATTTTTATAATTTCATTGTGATTACTTGTTATCTGTACTTGGGCTATTTTAAGCCAAGTTTCATTATATAATGATATATATAAAACTATTGTGCTTCTCAATTATTAAGAATCACAAGACTTTCTAATCACTTGATCAGCCTCCTTGTTACAGGTTTCTAGGAAAAGCAATCTATTTTACAGTTGTTTCCTGAAACAACTCTAGTCTAGAATACGCTGAAATAAACTCCCTTTTAGTAGCATCCTGAAGTCTTCACCACTGGAAGACACACATAAAAACCCTCCTTTCTTCAGCAGCCTTTCTTCTATGACCTTCCAGAAGCAAGATTCATCATCTGACCCTGCGAGCGAACCTCTGAAAGAGAGGCACTAGATCTTTTCTCCTTGCCTCAATTTTTCAATCCCCTTCATTCCTTTCATTCCCTCAGTTTAATTCAACAGTATGATTTAATAGTGGTAAGAGTCTAACTTTGGCATCAGACAGTTGCCAGTTCTATCACAGACTTAGCCACTTATGTTCAAACTTTCATGCACTTACTGGACACTAAATGCCCTTCCAGATAATGCACACATATTGTCACTTTTAATACTCACAGGGACCCTATGAAGTAAGTACTGTTATGATCTCCATTGTACTGAGGACAAAACGAAAGCTCAGAGGGTGAAGTAACTAACTCAAGGTTCTAAAATCAGGTATGGAAAAGCAGACACATGACTCTATAAAGTCTTATTCAAAGAGCGGAACTCTATCACCGAGCTAATAATTAAAGGTTAGGCAAACCTCAACACATGAAACAAATAAAAACAAAGCTATTCTTGCGGAAAGCAAAACTGAGGCACCCCTCAAGAATTTTAGGGTTCTTCTGAACATGGTTTTAAAATAATGATATAAAAGAAAGGGTCTTCTCCTATACAAGTATGAAAGTTACTCATAAATAACAGCATCCATGCCTTGCTCCAACCCTGCCACACTCTGAAGCCTGCAAAATTCTTTCTTTTGTTTTTTTATTTAAATTGAATTAGCCAATATATAGTACATCATTAGTTTCAGATGCAGTGTTCAATAATTCATCAGTCGCATATAACACCCAGTGCTCATCAAATTCCAGGACTAATGTTAAAACTTAGAAAATTTGATGAAAATAAAATTGAAATGGGCATTAGCTATAGATAAAATGGTAATATTAGTGCTACTTCCTAAATACTTGATTGTTCAAGTTATTTTTTTTTTCTGAGTTGGCCTGAGAAACGTCATTTCACAACAGAACTTCTTTGGGAAAACCTATTTCCAAAATTTTCAAAACAAAAAAACCACCACACTTGTAGAATAGATTTGGTTTGAAATTTAGCACTTTGTTATACATCAAAAGGAGAAATAAAGTTATGTGTTAATTCTTCAAAATACAAAAACTTTCTAAAAAACGCAAATATGCAATTGATAAGCCTAAAAATTAAGCACTTACAAAGTTCAATTTTAAGCAACTCTAAATGATACAAAATTAAAATTCTCTTGAGTGAAATATTTAGCCAAATATCTTGATCACTGGTTTA